TGTTATAGAGAGGGAGGAGTTAGAAGCTTCTAGTAGCCATTTTGTCTAAACATGCGTGTATAGCTTATATGCTGATTTTAGTGAGATGAGTAAATAGACATTTTACTAACTAGAAAATATATCAATACCCTATTTCCACAACATATGTCATATTTATTTAAAAAATATTCTTTACTACCTTTAATTAGGCTTATTCTCCAATATGGACTTAACTTAATTATCAGTGTCTGCACATTTAGTTTGGAATTTAAATCTATAGAAATTACTTTCTCGAAGCAGGGGTGCTTAGAAATATTTTTTTAGACCTGCTGGAGTTCTTCTCTGTAAAAGGTTGAGAAACACTGCTCTGGCTGTTTGCAACACAGCACGTATACAGCCAATAGCCATAATGCCACACCATGACAACAGTAGTTGTCACCGTTGTCCAAGAAATTACTTGTCCCAACTTTATCTGACTTTGGTGGATCTTTCAGAGCAGTAACTGGATGAGTCTGAGTCTCTGAAATGCTGAATCTCTTTACAATAGTTTGTCTCTAGCTGAGGTATTCCCTCCTGCAGGTCTTTGTTGTAGTTCTTCCAGGAGAAAAGCCCTTTACCTGCCTTTGGTATAAGTTGTTATTAAAGGACCACTTTAGTGCCAGGAAAACATACTCGTTTTCCTGGCACTATAGTGCCCTGAGGGTGCCCCCACCCTCAGGGTCCCCCTCCCGCCAGGCTGGATGGCGAGGAAAGGGGTTAAACTTACCTTTATTCCAGCGCCGGGCGGGGAGCTCTTCTCCTCCTCTCCGCCTCCGATCCTCCTCTTCGGCTGAATGTGCATGCGCGGCAGGAGCTGCGCGCGTATCAGCCGGTGTCATAGGAAAGCATTTACAATGCTTTCCTATGGATGCTTGCGTGTTCTCACTGTGATTTTCACAGTGAGAAGCACGCAAGCGCCTCTAGCGGCTGTCAATGAGACAGCCACTAGAGGATTTGGAGGCTGGATTAACCTATTTATAAACATAGCAGTTTCTCTGAAACTGCTATGTTTATTAAAAAAGGGGTTAATCCTAGAGGGACCTGGCACCCAGACCACTTCATTAAGCTGAAGTGGTCTGGGTGCCTAGAGTGGTCCTTTAACAAGTCAATAGGGAGATAGCATCTCATGTTTGCTGCTCTCACCTAGCATCAGAGAGGGAGCCTTTGATGCAGGGCAGTTTCTGGAAATGTTAGGTTTGGATATGAATGAAATTCCATAAATCAACAGATGTTCAGCTGCTTTGCAACTTAGCTCTTGTCCATCAGATAACTTTGGGAATTACTGAATGATTTGTTTTCATTACACTAATAATAGCAATAATAATGTCCCAAGTGTCTTATTGTGTGCACTTGCAACATTCCTTTCCCCTATAGCACACTGTCTTAGGTAACATTGTTTTCCTTTTTTTTTTTATTACATTATGTCTGCAGATATGGAGGCCATTTTGGTAAGCACAGTAGTTTTATCCATGTTGCATTTGCTCTTTGAAATGCGTAACAGCTACAAAACTGATCCATTTGTACATGTACAACTCCCATTTACCGCTATGTTCAATGCACTCTAACCCTGGTCACCTCCTTTGGGCAGAGCCAGTGACAGGTAAGTACCACTGGCCCCGCATTCTTAACCCATCAGCGTCCTGATTCTTTGGATGTGAGAGTTGGAAGGTGTGACGAAAGAACCTTCATCACTGGGATTTGGAGAGGCCTGCTTGCCAACCTCTAGCCCTGTGACTATGGCCCCTGGGATATATTGCCCTTTAAAAACACTATTTGGGCATATTGGATTTTAAAGGCACTGTTTCTACCCCTTGGACTTTTAACTGGAACAGATTAAAACATGTGGCGGCAGCCATCTTAAATTGCCAGCAGTGTTTTCCCCGGAACTGTTTTCGGCATGGGACCATGTGCACGGTGGGGCAAAAATAAAACTTCCAGGAAATTCCTGAACAGATCTGGGTGACTTTTGGATATGTTGTTCACCTATCAGTGGATGTGACTTTTGTGGGGATATGTTGTATTTTGGGGTACTTTTTGGGGTTTGTAAAAATTTATCTTTTTTTCTGCTTAGAATTAATTGAGTTAGTCCATTGTCTTAGTTAATTGTATCACAGACCAAGGGGAGGGCTTGTGTGCTGTATGTGGGATGGTCAGACATTGTTGTATTGTTCTGATTGGTTTGTGTGCCTGTGTTCCATCAGGCCCAGGGGGTGTGCCTCTGGCCTGAGGAATTATATAAATTGTGAGTGCTGGCTTGCATTAAACAGACCTGTTCTACCCTTCATGAAGTCTTGGCTCATGTTTGTGTGATTGGAGAACTACCTACACTCTGGGGATTGCTATAATCACTATATTCCCCAGAGTAAGCTCTTGTAAGAGCTTGTTCCTGCTCCTGCTCTCTGAATTTAAGAGAGGTCTACCTACTGGAAGCTGGACCCTGGTCTTGGGTCCAGAGTGGGTGGAAGACGGTGAGACCCCAACCAAGCTGCGGCGGTTTGTGGGATCTGCAGTATTTATGGTGTCTGGTGAAGTGCTTCAAGCCCTCGGGAAGCATTAGGAGCATCCGTCAACGGAAGGTACCCAGTTGGGGTGCCAGGTGATCCATTACAGAAGGTATGGTAAAGTGACAGAGAGCTGGAAGACATACTTCCAAGATCACCGACTATTCTAATAAATATGGTATCTCACTGCAATATCGAGCTGGCTCTACACCTACAAAATGATTTACTAAAATGAGAATTCAAAGTGAATTTCAAATTTAAATGAATACAATAGCTATAGTGCCCTGTAAACTGTTTATGTCCCCAACCCTCAACTGAAAGGAGTTAAAAAGCATTAAACGTATCTATTTTCCCCATGCTGTGCTGCTCTGTCTGTGGCTGGCGCCATTTCCTTTGGCTGAGATTATTGCGATCGCTGATTTCAGCCAATCCAATGCTTTTACATAGGAAAGCATTGGGAAGCTAATGCACATGTGCAGCAATACGCTGAGCTGGTCCGATGGTCTCTATGAGACCATCTAATTGAAATAGGAGAGTTTTACTCTGCTACTTTGTCGGACGTGACTCTAGTGGATCTACAATGCTGGGACAAAACATCAGGGACGTGGCATGCAGACCACTTCATTGGTATGAAGGGTTTGGGTGCCTATTGTACTCCTTTAAGGCCAGAGTAGCTGAACTGAAAGCATAGTTGACTTTTCCACTTTTACTTTTTTGACCTTAAATTTAAATGTCACTTTGAATTCTCACTTTAGTAAATAACAGTCAGAGTTAATCTGCTAAACCCTGATTCAAGGAAATGAACCTATGTAAGTCTACAACCACTACTCTGTTTGCATACTGCTGCACATGAAATTGCATTCTTCATCTGCCTACATAAACCGATAGAAACATAGAATGTGACGGCAGATAAGAACCATTCGGCCTATCTAGTCTGCCCAATTTTCTAAATACTTGCCGTTATGACCCCACCTGCAACCTAAAATTATTTACAGTGTGCTACCCATAGTAAAATTAAAAAGAGACGCAGACTCCAGACGCCATGGCCACTTCACATCATTGAAGTGGTCATGGTGCTCGGAGTAACCCTAGTAAGATGTTGTGATTTTGGTGTTTAGATTGTCTCTTTAAAGATTAAAAAAGTTAAAAATATGTCTAAATGTAGTGATACATTTTTATTATAAATTTTTAAACAATAAAGAAAATATATGTCAGAAGTGGGATTTGAACCCACGCCTCCATATGGAGACCAGAACGCTCTTCTTTGAGGAAGGAATCAAATCCTTGAGTCTGGCGCCTTAGACCACTCGGCCATCCTGACATGTTCTAGGATTGGAGCCCCAATAATATATTTGATCTCTAAAACACTCATGACGTCACCAGCACTTTTACTTCTCCCAATACATATTTGTAACTTTACTTTACACCCTTATTCTTCACTCACAGGGACACAACAATATCATTCTCAAAAATAATATCAGTTACACTTCTCGATGTTAATAAAACACCACACATCATGACTGAAGAGCCCAAAGACGTTGTTAATAAAGCGGTAAGACCGTCAAAATACCACATTCCACCGTGATGTCAGTGAATTAGTCATTCAGCTGGCGTTTTATCTGCAAGGTACATTTAAAAAAAACTACAACTCCCGGCATTCCTTGCGCTATATCCGGTTTGCCCTTGTGAAAGGGGGCGGGGCCGTGGATCGGATATCCGGCGTCGCCATTTTGTTTTTCTCCATTTCTTTCAAGGGTAAGGAAGGAAGTCAGAAATATGTTTCCTCTGGCAAGATCCGCGCTGTCTCTGGCAGGTAAGGCCGCCTTGACCCTGCATGCAGAGCAGGGAGATCTATAAACAAGCCTGGCTGGCAGGGGAGGCCATGGCAGTGGGGGTGAGGTCTGACCTCTCATTGAGTTATCTGGGTAACCTGCATAATGGTCCTAATCTCATTAACTGTGTGAGTGCCATGCAGCCAGTGTGTGAATGCCATTAGATGATTGAGACCAACAAATTACTTGGGCACCTTTTCTCTGGTAAGTCAAACCTGCTCTTCCAATACTAAACTGAGAGCTGCTAATAGAAGTGTAATTTTGCATTCTGGCGCACAGGCAATGGGTCATTCTGCCTTCTGGCGCACAGGCAATGGGTCATTCTGGCGCACGGGCAATGGGTCATTCTGGCGCACGGGCAATGGGTCATTCTGGCGCACGGGCAATGGGTCATTCTGGCGCACGGGCAATGGGTCATTCTGGCGCACGGGCAATGGGTCATTCTGGCGCACGGGCAGTGGGTCATTCTGGCGCACGGGCAGTGGGTCATTCTGGCGCACGGGCAGTGGGTCATTCTGGCGCACGGGCAGTGGGTCATTCTGGCGCACGGGCAGTGGGTCATTCTGGCGCACGGGCAGTGGGTCATTCTGGCGCACGGGTGGGTCATTCTGGCGCACGGGCAGTGGGTCATTCTGGCGCACGGGCAGTGGGTCATTCTGGCGCACGGGCAGTGGGTCATTCTGGCGCACGGGCAGTGGGTCATTCTGGCGCACGGGCAGTGGGTCATTCTGGCGCACGGGCAACGGGTCATTCTGGCGCACGGGCAACGGGTCATTCTGGCGCACGGGCAACGGGTCATTCTGCCTTCTGGCGCACAGGCAATGTCATTTTATGTCAATTCGAACACCTCTAGATTGGTAGCTATTCCCCTCCCTATTTTAGAGCTGTTTTAGTTTAGGCTTGTCATGAAATGTTTTGTGGATCAATATGTTTGCAAAATACTGATCTACAGCTAAAAATATTCTGAAATCTTGTCATTCGGTTAACATTATGGCTAGTCCTGAAGGGCATCACCTTGCACACTATGCTAGTAGGTCACCTCTTTGCATTAAATCAAAACAAATATTCCTGGCAGGAACAGACACTTTTTTTTTTGTGTGTGTATGAATGTATACACACATAATTCTGCACAATAATTTTGAGAAATCAAGATTCCCAAAATTTCTAGATCTTCAGACAGTCATCATAATTGCCTTGACAAACATTTGCAATTCCAACAAAGTCAAGAGATGGTACAAGACCATTACTTTGTCTTATGGTATAACCTAAGGTTGACACAACTTGACAGCGACACCATGAGAATCAGGGTTCTTCTCATGGATAGTGAGACTTGGTCTATATAGAATCTTACAGGATGCTCTGTATAAACCAGTGTTGTGCTTTCATGCATGCATAGTTGTACAGCAGTGATAGGGCTCTAGGAGCTGAAAATAGAAAATCAAATGCCCATAGGAGATGGCTTCATGGGTAAAAGTGTATTTTATTTGCCGTTTCGTTCAGGTGTGGATTAAATGGCAAAATAACTAACTCCAAATAATAAAATACGCTAAAATACACTTTTACCCCCACATTCTAGGTAAGACAAATACTATGATTGTTATTTTGCTAAAATACACCTTACCCTTCATGGTAAGTATTTTTAACCTCTGCTGCAGCCTTCACACAAAGGAGGATGTCACTTTGGCGGTCTTTGCCAAGTATGCCCTGTTCATTCATAACAGTTGTGTTGCAAGGCAAAGTATACAATGGCAAGTAGCTTTCACGTCCGAATAGTTGAGTATTCAGGATTTTCAGCCTTTATCCAATGACATTTTTAGTAAACAAGATACAAAGATGGTAAAATTTATGTTTACTGATTTATGAGCTGTTATCCTTTATTAGAATGAACTTGCTTGTGAAGGTTATATAATGCTTGTGTATCTTTCTGTTCCCAGCTCGTGGTGTTCAGCGGTCTGTCTCTAGACAGGCTCATCATAAAGCGGGTCCTAACTTCCATGACAAATATGGAAACATCATCCTGCTATCGGGGGCTGTTTTCTGTGTCTCAATTTGGAGCTATGTGAGTATTTTAAGAATTTATTTAACTAAACCTTTTCACATGTAACACATCTCTATACATTTGAAAGGGCTCTACAGCAGCACCCTGTAGTGGTAATGAGTTCAGGAATCCACAATAAGGAGATATGTAGTTTTTCAATAGTCTATTTTCTTAAATACTCAGGTGTCAACTTTCCTTCTATTTTTCTTAAGTTTGCTGGGAGTTTCATAAAAAAAAAAAATGACACTTTTAAACCAAAAAAATAGTACTTGGACTCCTGACACCAAAACCGCAATAGCGGGTTCTTTTTGCCCTGGTAACCTTGTCTCTGCTGCTTTGTTTTTCTCAGCAAACTCCGATATAGAATTTACTGGGGTGAAGGAAAGCTCTCCTTAGAAGCAGAAACAAGTTGTTTTAAAGATGGCTTTTACAATAGATGTGTGCAGGTTTATTAATAAATGGTTTATAAAAATGTGACTTCTATTAAACAATCTTGCATGGAAAACGTGCAGCTAACACCTAAACAACGCAAGATGTGGTGTCCCTTTTAATGTAAAATGATTAAAAGTTCTTGTGTACGAACTGGGGTATTCAATAAAGGGACACTATAGTCAAATCAGTTTTGACGTGTATAGATCATGCCCGAGCAGTCTCGCTGCTCAATTCTCTGCCATTTATGATTTTGATCACTTTGTTTATGCAGACCTAGTCACACCTCCCTGCCAGTGACTTCACAGCCTTCCTAAACTGTGAAGAGATCTAATTTATTATATCCTGCTCTGTTTTTAGCCTCCTATACCGTGCAGGTGCCTTATGTGTGGGAAAAGTTTACTTTACAGAGCATGAGATAAAAACTTCTAATGCAGTTATCATCTGATTGAAGTTAAACTTTTTTTAATTTTTTTTTTTTTTAAGCAGAATGTTTGTCACAGCCAGGGAAGGTATGGTTAGGGCTGCATAAACAGAAACAAGTGATTTAACTCCTAAATTGCAGAGAATTGAGCAGTGAGACTACAGGAGCATGCTCTACACACCAAACTGCTTCATTAAGCTAAAGTACTTTTTTGAACAGTGTCCTTTTTAAAGCGAGAGTACAAAGTAAAGTTAAAACTAGCTAAACTGTAAACCCTTCTCAGCTATTCTTCCATTTTGCCTTCTTTGGCCTTCAATTAAATATTCACTTTGAATTCTAATTTTAGTGAATAACCCTGTGAGGTTTTACTATAAACTAATCCCCGGCTTCTGTCTTCTCTGATGTTTGAGTTTGTGCTGATCTTGATGTGTCCGGGGGGAGGCACAGATACACTTTCATATATATTCAAGTTCTCTTGTTGAAACCCTTGTGCCAGCTATTAAGTGCAGTGTGCTGTGATAACTTAGTTCTTAAAAGTACTCTATGATCCATGTGGCATTAATCTGAGTATTAGTTTGCCATGGTGCTGGTGAGAGGCTGTGAGCATCAGCTTATCAGCCACCAAGACAACTTTCTTGATCACTGCAACAACTGGAGGAGGTCTGTTGGCAGGTGTTGGGGGCAACTGAATGGTTACCCCATTTAAAAATGGTTTAACCCTGTAAAGTAAAACAGCGCCCAGTGACTTGAGCCATAACTGCGTCATTAAAATTAGTTATGGGATGATAGTATTTCATTCATACTAGCAAATACAGTCAAGGAAATAGCCATGTTAAATTCATCATGCTATTGGAGCAAGATGTCAAGATTTCTATTTTTCATGTCTTCCACTAGGGGGCAATAAACAACTGTGTAATTTAGGTCTTGGAAATTGTTTACATATTAGTCATGTTCAATAGAAGTTTAGTTTTAAACACCTTGCATTACTGCTTTATTTTCAGGTGGTCACACAGACTGGAATCACTTGGAATCTGTCTCCGGTTGGCAGAATTACACCAAAGGAATATAAGGACCAATAGATTTGATGTGGCTTTGTTGGACTTCCTTTAAGATGCTTATACTGTGTACATAAACACGTTGTCTGCAAACTCTATAACTCCGCATAGGAGCTTTCAGTTGTAATAAATCCAATCTCTAACTCTTAAGTGTTTGGATTTTTTGTTGTTGTTGGATACACTGGAAATCTGTTAACTTTTTTATTTATTTTTTTTATTTGGGGACATGAGTGACAGATCTTATACATTTCAGGGTGCTAAAGACCCAGCTCAGAAAATGTACCCAAAGCGAAGAGTTACTTTCCAGTTTAATAACCCACATACCTGCCTGTGAGGAAGAAACTCATATGGTGGGCCCAAAGCAGCTGTCCCATTGAGTCCGCAGATGCGGCCCGCCAGACATAATGGTGCAACCTGGGGCTGCACAACACTTGCTGAGGTGCTACGTGTATTCAGGGGCCCAATCACCACTGTGGCCTTTTAACAGCTTAACGGACCTCTGAGTTGTTCATTAGGAGGGCTACTGGAAGAAGGTTGCCTCAT